TATATATATATATCACCGTTTTTCTTTTGAAATTATCTATACTGTATCTATTTGGTACGAGAAAAACACAAGAATTTCTTCATTACTCAGATATTGCTTAACCTACTACATCATCCATTATTCATATGATTTGTTGGAGAATTAGTATTAACAATAATAATAATAATAGTTGTTGTTATTAACCCGTAACAATTATAAATATAATGAATAAATTAACAGAAGAAATGATTAATTCAAATAAGGCTAAAGCAAACCTAAAAAGGTTTTCAATAGGTTTAATGGTATGACCTCTCAACCAACCAAAACATCATCCACTTACAAACCAACCTCATAATTTCTTCCCTTGGTGAACTTCCAACTAGGTAACCTGTCTCAAGAATGCTCCAACAAGAGCACATTGAACTCTGTGATTATTGAAGAAAAACAAATCTAGGTGTGACAATTCGGGTTTGCAGATCGGACCAAAATCAACTAGACTCTAATTGGTTTGCTTTGAACCGACCCAAATATTATACGGGTTGAAAATCCTAATCTGAACTCAACTCGACATGAACACAGCTAATCCGAACCCGATTTGACTCAACAAGACAATTTGACTCCTGCACCTGACCAATTTTCTTCTACTAATTCTCAAAGGAGTCAAATAAACGCGCAGTAGACCATTGTCAAGGTTCTGAGGAGAGGAGTGTGATTTGTGTAGGATTGCAGAAGAATACCTTTGTAGGGGGTAGACAATAATCCCAAGGGTTCAAGCCTTCGACCTTGGACCATTGGCTCTTCGCAGTCCTGACCCTCATCCGCCTTTTGCTCTTCTCGTTGTCATTTGACATTCGCAATCATAGTTTAGCATAACGAGAAGGCTCCACAGCTCCACACATAGGCAGACGGTTGCACAGTTCGCACTTCGAAAGCCCAAAAAGTTAAAACAAGGAGAATGAAAAAAAGATAAATAAAACTAAGCGTCGCGTGAACTTGAAGGCCCCTAATCCCACTACCCGTTGCAAAAATTTGCTAGTTTCAAGTCAACCCAACCCCGATCCGAAAAATATTAGGGCTCACCCCAACATGGATTTTTCGGGTCGAGTTCTGAGTCAAGTTGTCATGTGTCAATTTTTTACATCCCTACTCTAAACATCACAACAAAAGATTTCATAAATTTGAAGAATTTGCTTTATTGTACATAAGAAGTCTCAAAATCTCCTTTTGTTTATTTAAATAACTAGCATCTTCCTCAATAACCAAACAAATAGCCGAAAATCATCCACCCAACGAAAAGGACTCAAAGTGGCTCCCATCATGTAGAAATTATTACAAATAACTTCAAGAGATGTCAATCATGGTGTAGCGTTTTGTACTCCATCGAACTCGGCACTCATTTTCTAGTTGGCAGTTGGCATATTGATAAAATATCATTTGTAATAGCTTGAAGTCTCAACCATTGTGATATTGCCTACTTTAAATGAATAGGCATCATGATTTTATCCACTTAGTATAACATTTAAAAGGACACCTATCCTAAGAGTACTACAGTATGAGTATGCTTAATTTCGGAATTTCTAATGAAAATCCAACCAGCACACCAAAAAATATCTTTATATTTAATTGCTTAGCTCCAACATACTTTTAGGATCCAACCATGAGAATCCTTAAGGAATTAACTATTATGAAAACAAGATTCATGTCTGTAATTCATTGATTCATTCTATAATAGTGCATTCTTATATAAAATTTATAGCATAAACCGTTAACTAATGCTTAAAATTCTTCTCTTTCCATGACCAAATGTCACACCCCATCACTCATTGGTTGATCCACAGACACCCGCTCAACATCATCTTGCAAGCCCCAAATTATAGGCTAGAACAGAATAGAAAAGTACTAGGAATTATTTTAGATGTTCTCTACAAATCTATCAATCACCTTAGGGCACTTCTAACACTATTTCTCATTATAGATGACTTCTCCTCAATGCTTTCTCCTACTAAATGCTGCAAACAGCAAATTCTCTTTATTTTGAGCTTTTTTTCCACTGGAAAGCATCTGTTTTGCTAATTTTTTTTCCTTTAATGTTGTTGAAAACAACATTCCAGAAATCCTATTTTCTGTTGGATAGCAAGTAGGGCTGTAAACGAGCCGAGCTTGAGCGAGCTCAGGCTTAACTCGTGTTCGGCTCGTTTGAAATAGCTCGTGTTCGAAATCGGCTCGTGAACAGTGTGTTTGTGTTCGGCTTGATTTAAATATTCGTGTTCGTGTTTGGCTCGTGTTCGGCTCGAAATTGGCTCGTTAAAGTTAAATTGAAAAAAAAATAGATGTAGAGTATGAGATTCGAACCTGGACCAAATATATACAAAATAAGACGCTAACCACATTACCACATGAGATGTTATGAATTAAATTTAGATATAAATATATATAATAAATTATTACATAAATAGTTATATAATTTTTTTTTTTTTATTTCGAGCTAAAACGAGCCGAACACGAGCGAACAAAGAATTGTTTGTGTTCAGCTCGTTTATAATTTGAGCTTTAAAATTTGTTCGTTTTC